AAGAAGAAGAGAGAGAGAGAGAGAGAGAGAGAGAGAGAATCGAACGGACATCTCTTTAGAATCCCGTTTTTCCCGCAATTTTCCCTCCCCCCTTCCCTCTCTGCCTCTTTCCCTCTCTCGCTGTCGTTGGCGAATGCAAACGTTTCCTCGGCCGCTTATTAAGCACGATCGTCCGTATCGGTCTAGGTAGCAATAGCGGACAATACGGTAAATACGAGGAAGAGATATGAGGAATCGGGATCACGAAGGCGGCCGGCATGACTGACAGAAGCGGTCATTGTTGGCCGCGAAATCACCGGCTAAATGGGATCCCCGGGACAGATACCGTGCACGCCAGCCGCGCGTTTCCCCCGTCCGAGGCTTCGTCGCTCTTCGCGTGACCTTCGGCGTGTCTCTCGGAGTCATTTTCCAGAAAGAGCTCGTGCTGCATCAGGATTTACGAGACCGCAACGCCCGCGATTCCGCGACCTTCGCCGCGCGAAAACCCGAAAAGAGATGCCGCAAAAATGAGACGACAAAACGAAATAGACATTACAAGCTTCTCCAGGATGTCTGCTCAAATTTAAAAACAATTAAAAACAAATTTTTTTGAGAATTCTCTGATTTTGAAGGAAATTTGTTAAAAATTCCAGGTGAAAGTATTTTTAAATGTATCTCGCAAATAAATATATATTTATTGTGCCAAATTCTTAACATTGAAAAGTAAATAACATAGTTTACAAAGCATAAGATAAAATTAAGAATGAATTACGCTCAAGTTTCAATAATTTGAAAAATTTTAGAAAAAACTTTAGACTGTAAAAAAATAAATATTTGATATTTTATAATTTTCAAGAGCTACAACCAAAAAATTATATAATACATAATCGGTACAAAATTCAATTTTTAGAAAACTATTAAAATAAATATTCATCTTCTTAAACAAAATTGCATCTAACGCGAAATCATTGTCTTCAATATTGTAATACTGAATATTGGATTAATCATAAAATTCATGTATCTGATGTTAG